TGGGTAGTCCTCATTAAGCAACCCACTCATTCAGTGACTGAACAAATGATACTTATAGCTGGTCCTCAAAGTTCTGGCTGTTGCACCATCCCTACAGTCATGGGATCATGATCATGGGCGCTTGTTAACTGGTTTGTACTTATGACCATTGCAATGTCCCATGGTCAGGTGATTGCCATTTGGGATCTTACCTTGCCAGCTTCCGTCAAGCAAAGTCAATGGGAAAGCTGATTGGGAAGGTCACAAGTTGCTCCAATAAGCCTCCCCCAGCCCTGCTATCCTGCTACCACACCTTGCTGGCTACCTGTGTACCCTCCCCTGCTGGCAGCAACCATCCCTAGATCTGAAATAATTTGTGTATATTGCTGCAGCCACCTATGCCCCTCTCCTTCACCTGGAATCTGGGACTTGCAACTTCTTGCTGACTTTGGTTGTTGGAAGCTGGCAGGAAGTTGCAAAGAAGTTCTTGATTAATGACCTTCAATCCTCATTTAACAAGAGCAACAGGGCCTGGTGAGATTGCCATTCCTGAGAAATGCAGTCATGTGATATTGCTCTTCAAGACCATTTAGTAATGGAAATTCTGGCCCCAATTACCATTGTTAAGTAAGGACTACTTGTACAATATCTTTAATTTCACATGCAAGCAAAATACTTAGGATCATCTGATGCAGATTAGAACCCTACATGGAGAGAAAATGTTTAAAGTAGCTTTCAAAAAGAATAAAAAACACAAGATATTGCTGAGACACACTGAATAATTGAGAACATCAAAGAATATCAAAAAGAAGTCAGTATGGGCTTCGCTGATTATAGAAATGTCTTTGATTGTGTCAATCATATCTAGCTGCGGAAGGCACTTGGAAAAATGGAAATCCTAGAACATCATATTATTCCCATGCAAAGCCTGTACACAGTAAGAAGCAGTATAGATAGAACATGGTAAAACAGACTGACTCCAGGTTGGCAAAGGAGTAAGATAAAATAGTCTCCCCTTATTTATTCAACCTATATGTAGAATATATATTGAGGAAAGCTGGACTGGAAGAAGAGTGTGGTTTTAAAATTGGAGGAAGACACCAATGTGAGAATGAGAGATTACAGAGTAACAGAGTTGGAAGGGACCTTGTAGGTCATCTAGTCCAGTGATCCCCAACCTTTTTTATGCCGCGGCCCGGTACCGGCATCAGCTGGGCGCCGCGGCCCGGTACCGGCATCAGCTGGGCGCCGCCATCTTTTTTTGATGAAAAAGTGCTTCCGGTGAGCTTTCTACCCGGAAAAGCTCACCGGAAGCACTTTTTCATCAAAAAAAGATGGCGGCACCCAGCAACCAGCGGCCCGGTAGGACTTGTTCCGCGGACTGGTACCGGTCCGCGGACCGGTGGTTGGGGACCCCTGATCTAGTCCAATCCACTACCCAAGTACCCAAATGGCAATCCACTACCCAAGTACCCAAATGGCAGTCCAGTCTCTTCTTGAAAGCTTCTAGTGATGAAGCTCCCACAACTTCTGAAGGCAAGCTGTTCCATTGGTTGATTGTTCAAGGTGTACCATCTTTAGGATGAAGCCAGTTCCTTGCTATTATGTGAGGATTTTTATTGCAATATTATTAAGATATTGAACATATGTTGATAATATTATTTGGTATATTTGATAATCTTGATAACTTTTTAATTATGCTTTGCTTAGAGTTAAATGGTTGAAGAGTGCAATGAACAAATACTAAGATAGCTTAGATAGACAGAAGATAACTGCCCAATGTCTCACTACACCAGTTGATTCATATGCTACCGAATCAGGCAAATGCTGTATTCAAAGTTGTGAATTCATTCATTTGCTCTGGAATTATGTTTAAATAACAAGTTACCTCAGCTAAAGAAAGCTGGTCCTAAGAGACATGTTATACAATGGGAGAATGTCTATGGAGATTTTCAATAATTCAGGTCATGGTTGTCCCAAAGGTGCTTTTTGAAAAGGCAACTGGGCTTTCTTTGTTTTTCCTGGAAGACATTTCACTTTTCATCCAAGAAGCTTCTTCAGTTCAGTTCAAGTTCAGTTAAACTGAACTGAACTGAACTGATCTTCAAGGAAAAACACAAAAAAAGTCCAGTTGTCTTTTGAAAAAAATTGATACAGATGAAATCTTGTTAATTCCTTCCCTCATTTGAAATTTTCGGCAAAAGGATGAAAATGTATTATTACAGTCATGATGACATGATGGTGGGTTTTATTTTTGTTGCCAGTATAATAAAAAAAAATTCCTTGATAGTCAGTTTGTCTGCTAAAACTATGTTACATTTATTTTATACTGAAATTTAACAAAACATGACTGAATTATATAAACACGTGGTAGATCATTTCTAATAAAAAAAAAGTTACACATCTGCATTTCTGACTTCTGTCCTGCGATTCAGCAATATTAAAAATCTAAGTACTGGTATGTAAAGCAAAGCAAGAAAAACTAAACAGATTCTCAAATAATCTTTTAAAAATAATAAATGACAATTTAGCTGCAAAATGTTGAAAATACTCTCCTTTACTCACCATCCCTTTATAAAAATTCCTGTCTTGCATGAAATTGTTTTCAACTATTTAGGTCAAATAGATGCTCCAGGCATTTTCTTTGTGATTGTGGGTTAGACAGATGAATATTGCTTATATCACTCACAAACTTTTTTTTTCGCAGGCTGCTGTTTGGTTACATTAGGCTAATGTGAAAGAACATTAAAAATATGACCTAATATTATAATAAAAAGAAGGCGGAGTCAGAGAATTGGAATATGCTAAATCTTTATCCTGTTGCTTTTTTCTAATATGGCTACTTGCTTATACAGAGCAAGAATAATAACAGATTATTTTTCTCCACACTCTAAATCAGAGCACTTCTTGATACAAAACTCTCTTCTCTTCCTATCTTGGAAAATTCTGCTTGCATGCTTGCCATTTATATTGTTATCTTATTCCTGGGCAACAAAAAGGAGTAATATTATTTATTTATGAGACTTATATAGCTGTCTATTTTATGGGCCATAACTCCCGGTGGCTCACAGCAGTGATAAGAACATAAAAAAATAATAAAAATCAACAATCCCCCTCACCAAGAAAAGCAAAACAACTTTTAAACAACTCTTTTCAATCCATTAAAAAAAAAACCACATTAGACACTTTGGGGGATGATGTCACTCTCTTTTACATATTCCTAATTTCTCCAGCTCATGCTTATATATAACCTGAATTCATGCTCATCCATATTCCAGGCATACAAGTAATCATTGGCCCAAGTGTTGGGAAATCTGCCCCTTGTGGCTTCTGCTAGGCACAGCTAGGATCTACCAACTGAGTCCCATAAAGACCAGGGTGTATGTACAGTAGAAGGGAAGTGGGATTGAGCTTCACACACTGATTTGAAGGCTGCTAGGTTTTGTGGCTGAGATCTACCCCTGGCCTTGGACATCTCTCGCTCTCTCTCTGTGTGTGTTTTGGCATCTTCAAAATGGGCAAATGCTTCTAAACAATTTTCTACATGCATATTCATCATGAAATGTGCAAATGAACTGATGTATGGTCTGTGTCCTGACTCACTTTCTTGATGTTTCTCTTGCATATTACATTTCTTTCTTGCTTTCCGACAGTCATTTAGTCTGGATGGTGCTGGGTAGCTGTGATGGTTTATTACCTTCCTTGCATAGTGTAGCCAGGCGGTTGGAAACTATAATTACTTGTTTTAAGGTGTTTAACAAGAAAAAGGAAAACAAAACATCCACATACCCTGGAGGCACATACAACCACTCTAGCCTATTGTGGAGTTTATGTGCCTCCTGCTCTCCACAATGGCCTTGTATTATGATTTATCTCTGCACTATCCTACCTTCCCAAAGCCTTCACACCGGAGAAAGCTGATTATTATATCCTATAACATGCCTTGCCCAGGACTGCTTAGGCCAGTTCATGTTTGAGGTGTGTCTTATGTGTTGTGTGTTCTCTCTCTGTGTGTGTGGCTGTCATAAGAACATACATATATACGGAGTGCATTTCTTCTCACGATCGCCATACTCATTCCTCTTTTCTTCCCTGGCCGCAGCCCAGGCTCCGATTCCAGGTCTCTTTCAAATCGCATCTACGGCACTTATAGCCAGTTCGCATACTTTCAAAGGCTGGGGGGGGTGGGGGGAGCTTCCTTCGATCCGGTGCCCTCCCGCTGCCTAAGACTTTGACTCCCGGCTCCCGGTTTGGAGAAGGTTGCAATTCCTTCAAGCCGGACGTCACGCCACGCCACAGGCACCTGCCCCCAGAGACAAAAGAGCCTTCGCTCTCCGTTCCCCCGTCCCACCCCCGGGAGAAGCGCGGATCCAAATCCCCGCGCGCTTCAGCGGCTGCCCCTGCCGGTTGCGAAGGTGCCTTCCAGCCCTCCGAGGCTGACGCTCCCCCGGGCACCGGCGCAGAAAGGGCGAGCGGCGGGGAAACAGGTTCCTCGCGGGGGTGGGTGGGGGAGATCGGGCCGGCGCGCGCTCGGGGGCGCGCTGGGTGAGGAGGGGGGAGTGGGGTGGGCTTCCCCCGTTTGCCCAAAGCTGGGCTGAGGCGGCCCGCCGGCCGTTTTGATTCTGAAGGAGGTGGAGCTTTACTGAAATCTCCCTCCGTGGACTTGAGGGGAAAGAAATTCTCCTTTTTTTGCCCCCACCCCCCATTTCTGAAACCGCGGCGCGTGTGGCGAGAGAGAGAGAGAAAGCGCGCTCCACCTCCAAGCTCGGCTTCTCGCCGCGACGGCCAGCGCTTCACGCCCGGCTGGTGCGTGGGTCACCGCGGCGCTTGAGCGAAGAAACACGTACCGTCGAAGGGAGCCACGGGGAGAGAGCGCGCCTGCTCGCCCGCCCGCCCGCCCGCTGGCTGAGCCGGGGCTACGCTTAGGGCTCAGTGGCAGCTCGGTCTCTCCGGCTAGCCGGCGCGCTCGGCGACTTGTTGAGGGGCGCCGCTCTCCCGTGCTCTCTCGCTCGCTCTCTCCCATGGAGGAGGACGTTCTGGACAAACTCGAGGACATGGCGTCGGTGCAGGACTTCGACCCCCTCACGGGCAGCATCCCGGCCACCAAAGTGGAGATCACGGTCTCCTGCAGGTAAAAAAGAAAAAAAAGGGGGGGGGAGGGGAAGCCGGCGCGGTCGTCGAGGAATGGGTGGGGTTCGCGGGTGACAGGGAGGATGAGGAGGATGGGCGGCGGGGCGGATGGGCGGGTTTCGGGTGGAGGTAAGACGGCGGCAAGTTTCTCGGCGCGTTAGCTGCCGTGAACGCCGTGAGGCGGCGGCTGTTTGCCGCCGGTTCGAAGTTTCCGCCCGGGCAAGCCTTTGGCTTGCGAGGTCCGGCTACTTTGGGAAGCGGCTTGGGAACTTGTGTGAGGAAGCAAACACACACACACACACACACACACACAACGAAATGAGGTTGGGGGAGCCCGCCTCGAGCTAGCGGTGAACTCGGATATCGCGGAGGGGTCGGGCTCATGGTGGTCGACCCTCCTTCCCCTCCCCTCCTCCTCTTCCTCCTCCCCGTTTCACAAATACGAACGAAGTAAATCATACACGTGCACAAGGTCCAGGACGAGCCCGTGGGCGTGGTCTCGGGGAGCTGACAGGTAAGGGGCGGGGCTCGTAGGTTCGGGAAGGCCTTACCTGTAGATGGACGGAGGGAAGCAGGGCCTTCGTTAGCCTCCCACCCCCGCTTGATGGGCAACTTGGTGTGGCCGATTGAAAGATTTCCTGGAGTGACTAAGGTGAAGCTAGGCTCCCATAGGTAGACATGCAATTAGTGGGGGATAGGGACCCATCAACTTTGGGGGATCAACTTGGAGGGAATAGGTTTTCAAGGTAAGAGCTAGATCCGGAGGAGCTGCTTTGTGCGAGTACCCCATTATTTTCAGCGTTGCGTGTATTCTGCTGGAACAGCTGCATGTGAAAAAGAGAAAGCCTGTGTTCAATGAAAAATGGATTCTCAAGAAGGCTCTCCTTTAATCCTTGTGTCTCCACCACCAAGGCCAGGAAAGATCTGGAAAGTTGCCTCCAGTGGGATGAAGGAGTTCTAAGTTACCTGAACGGGCTTACAACAGTTTCATATGTTAACAAAGATATGCCTGCTTGGTGTGGCTCCAACAAACTTAATTCGAGGGAATATTTTACTTAGATTGTGCTGGATAATGAACTGTGAGAGGTGACCTATTCACAAATAATGAAATAAGCATGTATTTGGGGAAGAATAAAAACTCCTGGGCTATTAAACCTGCACTAAAACATTGTTTATTACATTATGCTGAATGAAAGAGGCTTTTGTAATACCAGAAGTCTACTGTTATACAAATTCACTTTAAAGCACTTTAAAATTCCAGTAAATATTACAAATTCACTAAGTGACATGGATCTAGAGCTTATGGGAGACCTATGCATAGAGAACTAATACTGAACTCTTTGACTCAGTTTTGAAGTGGAGGAATTGATGGATAGATGGAAGTTGCTGTGGACTAGAAAAACTTGGGTTTTAACCTCCTTCCAACCAGTTATGGAAGCTCACTAAGTGACTTTAGACCTTTGACTCAACCTATCTCACAGGACTGCTGCTGTTAAAAAAAAAGGGAGGAATGGGTCTCAAATGTTCTGAGTGAAGCTCTCAACCTCAGCAATTTTAAGATGTGTGACATCAACTCCCAGAATTTCCCTGCCAGGATGCTAAGCTGGTAAATTCTGGGAGTTGAGGTCCAGGCAGTTTAAAGTTTATGCTATTGAGAAGCACTAAAGAAAGATAGGATAAGAATAAAGGAGAATATTTGTACCTCGGGGTTGAAATGAAGGGTCCTTGGTGCTCTCTGAGTTTGCTTGTTTTCTTGCAGAAATTTCATTACCCAAACTAGGCAACGTCATCAGTGCTGAATATCTATGGAGATTCTCAGTCATCCAGATCGTGATTGTCCCAAAGGTGCTTTTTCAAGAGGCAACTGGACGTCCTGGTTTTTCTTTGAAGGCGTTTCGCTTCTTGGATGAGAAGCGAAACGCCTTCGAAGAAAAACCAGGAAGTCCAATTGCCTCTTGAAAAAGCACTTTTTGCGATCATCAGTGCCGGGATAAGAGTCTGACAACAAAATGCAAACAATAAAGTAAGATATTTTGCAACCTAGATATCTCCTTGGAGCAATTAAGAACCCCAGATTTTTACATATATGCAAATGCTGAATATGGTGTGTGGTTTGCAGTATAAGCAGGATTGATGTTTTTGCGTATATGATCCAAAATCATTTTATAAATCGCATCACAGGATAGAGAACAGGTTCTCACAATTGTATTTCATAGCAATTAATCCAAAAGAACCCATGCCACAAATTCCCAAGCCTTGGACAGATCTACACAGCAACCTTACCCATTTCTGTGGGCTATCACCTGTAAAGCATTGTCTAGCCATATGGCTGAGGCAACCTGTAGCTGTATGCTGGCATGGTAGAATGTGCTGAAGTGACATGATCTGTGTTGCAATTGAGTCTTCTAGTTTCCCGTGAGACCATCCCTTCCATCTGATGCCTGACCTGTATTTCTATCCCTCAGCTGTGAGGGAGATCACAACCCTGGCTACCACAGCCACTCCCCCCCCTTCTAAAACCAGTTGGTTGTCTGGTTACCTAAGTGAATATGAAATTGATTAGGATGTCCTTGGCTTAATGCATATAATTGGAAGTCTTAAAGAAATAACTCATCTCCTGTTCCTCTAAAGCAGGGCTGTCAAACTCCTGGCCTGCAGGCCAGATGCATCACATGCTGGCTACGCCCATGCCCGATTTAGTGAAGGGGGGGGGGCAAAAGTTCCAATACATCACATGACACGGCCATGATGACATGAGTTTGACACCCCTGCTCTAAAGCTTGCTTGGCTGGGAATGTCTTTCCCAATAGCTACTGTCCCCAGGATCCCCAGTTCCTCATTTCTTCTTTTCACATAATGTTTTTGGGTAATTTACATCACTTACGATGTTTACTGAAACTCCAGTTATTCAATGGTACTTAATCCAAATGACTGTCCAAATCCAGACAACCACTAGACAGCAGCCAAGAGATATAAAATCCCAAGTGCTAGCTGCCATCTATTGGTCAATATAATAAATAGGCAAGCGGCTGATTTATATATTTAAAGATTGGAAAAAACACAGCATTAATGTGGGAAAGAAAACACGTGTATGTGCATTAGTAATGATTGTGCATGTCAATTAGAGGAGGATTTTCACATTGTTTGACAGGGCTGGAACTTCAGCTGAGAGAACAACGAGCATCTCCCTTTGAGTGTTGTGCATTCAAGCTGTGCAGAGAAGAAAGAGCACAGCACAGAACCTTCTGGTTGCATAGTAAGGATTTGCTATAAAAACAGCAAAGCCTAGGGCAGAGTGGTTTCTGCTGGCTCTGAGGCAGGAAGGGAGCTGGGCTGATGCAATTTTCCAGGGTTTTACATCCATCTCAATACCTATGCTGTATAAGGTATCTTATGGGAGGGTCAGTTGGTTACATACCTTTGTGGAAGTAACCGTTGCTGACCCAAAGGTGCTTTTTCAAGAGACAACTGGACTTTCTCATTTTTCTTTGAAGTTGTTTCGCTTCTCATCCAAGAAGCTTCTTCAGCTCTGACCAGATGGTGGGGAAATGGAAGGATTTATACTCCTTGCAGACCATTTGCATTCTTTTAGTGTGTTGTTAAGGTCACCTGGAGGTTTATCTGTGTCATCAGGGTCTCCTGAGTGGTACAAATAGATGTGGAGCCTTCTTGGAACTGTTGGAAAGACTGTGTTGTAGATTGTAGATTTCTACAAACATCTACAAGCTCCCCCTCTGTTGAGAAAGGGCTGTTCAATTTTGACACAGGTGGCCTCTTTAACCCCGCTTTCAAACCAGCGGCCCTCTCTGTCCAAAATGTGGACTTTGCTGTTTTCAAAAGGGTGGCCTGTGTCTTTTAAATGCAGGTGATTTTAAACCTCCAGGTGACCTTAATGACCTGCTAAAAGAACGCAAATGACCAGCTGTTTTCAAGGAGTATAAACCCTTCCATTCTCTACCATCCAGTCAGAGCTTCTTGGATCAGAAGCGAAATGTCTTCAAAGAAAAACCGGAAAGTCCAGTTGCCTCTTGAAAAGGCACCTTTGGACCAACCATGACCTGGATGACTGAGAATCTCCATAGACATTTAACTCTTGTTGAGTTCCACAGGATACCTTCCTAGCAACCTGGGTAGAAATCTGTTGATTTAATATGAAATTTACAAAGGAAAGGAAATTGTCACCAACCATAAGTAAAGTCTTCACTCTGGCACTATTCAGTTGGACAAACAAAAAAGTCATGAAGCAATGTACAAACTCAACCTGCTTGCTTTGTTATTTCAGGTGATGAGGAGCCCTAAATAAACTAAAAGCTTGCATACTGCTTTTATGATGTTTTGGTTGGATTTCAGGTAAAAGAGTAAATTGATGAACCAGATTAGTCAGGTTACATGGGAAAAGAGGATGAGAAATTAAGACAGTGGAGTAGGAACAGAGACATTTGCATTCAAATATAAGCTTGTATATGTGATATACAGTATTTCATGTTGAAACTGTACATCTGCATACCATAGAAGAAACATTCTTTTTTTTATTACATGCTAGTTAATTTGGAAAAAGAAATCCCATTTCAATGCTAATATTCAACAAGTTTTATCTTGACCCAAATACATTCCATACATGCAGTTTTTTGTAATTCTTTTTTCCACAGACAAATGTAGAAGAGAACTTTTGCAGACAGATTAGATTCGGAGTATTTTTAATGCAGCAGGCCAAAGAATGTCTTTAGACAACCAGAAATTGTCTGCCTAATCCACCTGACAATTTCAGTACCTCTGTTTGCACTGACACAAGCCAACATAGTGTTTGTGCTACACTTTTGTGACTCAGGCCCTTGGTCTGTTAGTTTGTTAATGAAAACATTCCAAATAGTGTAGGAACTTTTATTGTGAGTAGTTCTAATTTGTCAGGAACACTTTCCCCCCTTGCACTGAAATTCTTTAAAGAATATGACATCTTAGATCTGACATTCAGTCTGAAGTATTGCTTTTCTAGGTGTTGGC